TGCGGGGAAGAAAAAAAGAAAAGAAAAGGTATGGTCGACAAGCCAATTAATAAATTTGTTGAAATTTAAGTTAAATTTATCAAATTTTTGAAGGGTAATTATATTAATATCAAAATTACTTTTATTTATTTTTAAATCCACCATATAGCCCCTGATAGAAATTAAAATTCAGATTTTAATTTAAGTTAAAGTGTTAAAGTCAAAAATTAATTTTGATCACACATTTTATCAAAATTTACTAAAAATCTGATTTTCAATTCTACCAAATAGGGCCTTAATAACATTGAAGGCTTTTCTATTGACGATTTTCGTTTAATTATTTTATTGATTTAAAATAAATGGAAAAAACTTAGTTGCGTTTTTGTTTTTTATAATTTTTTAAACTACAATGGATAGATAAGTCTTTTATCGCTATTTTGACTTCATTTTTGGATATAATCTGTCATTCGGAAGGAGATATGCTAATTAATAGAATGTTGATGATAAGAATGCAATGGAATAAAAAAAAATTTCGAGGTAATAAGCATGGCAATAAACAAAAGGATATATACCTTTAAAGTGATTACAATATAGTGCAATTATATAAAAAAATGTGATGACAATATTGCCATTTTTTAGGCCATCATGGTACTTATTGTTTGAAGGTATGCATTTTTAGATGATGAAATTTGCATTTTATTTCAATTTCATCACTGAGTTAAATTTCATTATATTTTTTATAAGATGTCTGAAGTAGAAGACTTCAACATCGTATCTTGTCGGATGGTTGTCAAACATGCTATACATCCAGCTAAAAATCACTCATCAAAAAATCTTTATTAAGCAATTGCTAAGTATGCTAATCTGCAAGGTCATGAGCTCGTAGGTATTATTTGTCTCTTTGTAAAATTCATTTAACGTACTAAGTCCATGTTTGAAAAGTGCTTTGAGATTATAAGTTGGTGGATAACATGAAAAATATAATTAAAAATGAATAAAAATTGTGGAACCAACAAAATATGTAGTTAAAAATAAAATTTAATCAACTTATAATTTTAAAAGAATAATGCTATTCATTTTCTCAACCTAAACACTTTTTCTTTTTTCTTTTGTTTTTCAAACGCATTTGATTCTGTTTAATTTGTTTTGTAACGTACAGATTTGTTACACAAGAAGACAAGAAACGGGTACAGCTTTGGTTTGAAAAAGTATAAAGTACAACCTTTTGCTTTTGTAATGTTATGGGAGTACCTTTATGCTTTTTAGGTGAGTTTCGTGGATTGGTATTTTGGTCTTTTGTGAACCACAATGCTCAAAACCACCACCTTTCCGTTACGCACACGTGCGTCTGACTGTACCAATAAAGTCGTGTTTGTTACATATTATTTAGAGCTCGTTCAAAAAAATATTTTTTTAATATTTCTCAAAATCAATAGGATTTTTAATAATGAATTCTCCAAAAAAAAAAAATAATAATAAAAAATCAATTTTTACTTAAGAAAATCTCTTCAAAAAATGTTTTTTATGTTTCAATACTCTTTAGTACTACTAATCCACGTCCCTAAATGATGTCTATACCATGGCGTCTTTATGTGCACACGGTGTTATTTTTATGTACCTACGTTCCAGAAATAACATGTACAAGATGTTGTCTTGATATGCACACGGAGCTGCCTTAATGTGCACACGTACCTATCATGATGTACATACGATGTTGCCTTTGTGTGTATACAGGGCTGCCTTCATATGTTTACGCTCTTGCTGTAATGTACATATGATGTTGCCTTCGTGTATATACGTCCCTGTAATGACGTGCCACGAGTGCATACGATGATGTCTTTGAGTGCACAAGATGTTATCCTTGTGTGTCATGACATGCCTAAATAATTATTAAACGCGTCATAAATGAAGAAGAAAATACATAAATTTGTGTTTGCGTGTAATATAAGAGGTTGTGGTAGTTCTCGTTCATTTTATATTTAATTCTTATTTGAAATTTGAGATATATATATACAACTCCTTTGTAACGTGAACGTGGAACTTGGTTTTTAAGTTCTGCTTGGGCATATTTTGGCATTGCTATGATTTCTATCCAGTGTTGAATATTTTTGTTACTTATCAAATTTTATATTTGTGCATACGGAATGCAATATTTTATAAGTGTACGTCAAAAAGGATTTGTATTTAATTTAAAATTATTTAAAATAATATATGATTTTCATGTGTTTATGTATCATAAATACTTATATAAATAATGATATATTATGTGTCGTGCCAATTTATTTATAAAAAATCGATCAAATCTAACTAATCGACTAAAAAAATAGTTTTTCAATTGAATTGATCGATCCGGTCTACAAAAGAGGCGGGACAGCGGGGTTGGAGCATGCAGGAAAAAGGGTGGCAAAGGTGGGTAGCCAATAGCGACATGGTTGGGAGGTAGCAAATACCGAAAATGAGTGAAACATGAAAAAAAATAAAAAAAAATAAATAGTAGTGCAAATACTTCAGAATTTAAAGATGAATACTTGTTGATGACTTATTCTACTACCGACTAGCGAGAAATGTTTAAAATTAGAGTCTCAATTATTCTAAATGAATACCAAAAATTGATTTGATAAAAATATCATCATAATCGAAATCACGTGAGTCACAAGACAAGAAAGAATAATCATCAACGATAAAATTTGACACGAATATTGGGTCCAATTATAAGATAACGAATTAAAATTTAGTGAAAATTGATGGAAACATCCAATATTTTTTTCACCTAAAGAAAGTGAAGTTCAATTACATCTCTCACTTTTCAATTGGAAAAGACATTGATGCAGTCTTTGTTGAAAAAGAAATAAACAGGCATGCATCAACCAAATTTAACTTTATTTAGTACCAAACTCACTACATCAAAAGTCTTAAATTTGGGCTCTCTAATAATTACAATGGCGCATCAAATTAATATTTATTCTTAATAAATTTAAACTTAATTTCTAATTTTTTTGCTGTTATATTCATGGGTGTTGGACAAATAGTTGTATAATTTAATTAAACCAATTCTTCTTGTGCATGACAGAGTGAACGATTATACTCTCTGTCTCTCTTTGGATTTCATTTTATTTTGTTAAAATTTTAATTTTCAAGAAATGAATGATTAATAAATGGATAGTAATTATGAATTCTACAACATATACTGTTGAATTACTTTTTGAATTTAAAATTAAAATTTTAAGAAAATTAGATGAAACCTAAACTGAGGATATATAAACTTGTTTGTGCCAATGAGAGAGACGGCGAGTTTGATACTCCTAATATTACATTGATACAGACAAATTATGTTAAGCGTAAAGAATAAGGAGTTTTTGATTTGCAGTTTTGCAGAATACCAAATACTTCTTTAATTTGGTATTTATGAAAAATATATTTTTCAAAATAAGATTAAACTTATCACATAAAACTCAAAACACAATTTTGACGTTTTGAATGTTTTCAGTGAAAATGAGTGAAAATGTCGAAAATACTCAAAACATATAAAATAAACATTTAAATAAAAATTTTAAAATTAAAGATACTAGAAAATATAAATAAAAATTTTAGAACAAATAAATTCTAAAAAAACCGTGAGAGGGGAGGGGGGAGAGGGAGAGGGAGAGAGAGAGAATAGTTCAAGCTAGGGATGGGCGTGGGTCGATTCGGTTTGATTCAATCAAAATTTTCGTATATTTACCAAATGGAACCGTCGGGTCCAAATATAATTATGGAACCGTTTGGGTTCGGTTCCGTTCGGTTCTGTACTATAATTAAATTTTTTAACATTTATAACAACATTATATGAATACAACTAATGACACATTCAATGGTTTTGAAATGTCAGAAACTAGTAGACTACCTTATTCAAATGATCGCTACGATCAAAATTTTGATTGGCGGAGGTCACAGCTTCGATCAGAGGTCACAGCATCAGTCAACGATTGTATAGGTTTTGGAATGTCAGCGAGGCTGCAAGAGTCAAAACAGCGTTATGCACTTTAGTGTAGGTGTTTAGGGTTATTTAGTAAGTTGGATCTTGTTCGACTAAGAAATGAGACAATAAAATGGGTAATTTGGCCAAAAGTTAAAAAATTAGAAATGAAACAAATTATTGGGCCAAAAATTTGGATTTATAAATTGTTAATTTGTTTAGAAAAAATTAAAATTAAAATATTTTAATTTATTCAATATAAAAAAAAATTAGAAAGATTCGGTTCTTGGTCTAAAACCGAGAATCGAATCGTACCCGTCAGTTCTCAATTCAGATACCCGTTCGGATATTTAATTTGACAAGAATCGTCGGGTTCGGTTCGGTTTGGGTTCGGTTCGGGAGATTTGTCCAACCCTAGTTTAAGCTCTTACTGATATTTAAAATAAAATAAAAAACAAAAATCTTTATTTATATTAAAATATGTAAAAAAAAAAAATAGTTCAAGTCATTAAATTTTTTTATTTCCTATATTTTTCGGATATTTAATTTGACAAGAATCGTCGGGTTCGGTTCGGTTTGGGTTCGGTTCGGGAGATTTGTCCAACCCTAGTTTAAGCTCTTACTGATATTTAAAATAAAATAAAAAACAAAAATCTTTATTTATATTAAAATATGTAAAAAAAAAAAATAGTTCAAGTCATTAAATTTTTTTATTTCCTATATTTTTCCAACTTAATTTGTTATTTATTTTTATTTTTTAAGAGGGAAAAACATATTGTCCATATTTAGTAGGGATTAAAATTAAATTTTTATTAGATTTTGATAAAATTTGATGAAATGTGTAGTCTACAAATTGTGAATCTGTAAAATATATGGTTAAAATTAATTATTAATTTTGATTAATATTAAAATCAAAATTTTAATATCTATCAAGCAAAGACATTGTAAGATTTACTAACTTTAGAATCTATATATTAATTGATAATATATCGAAATAAAATTATTAAATTTTACTGAATAATTATATTTAATGAAATAAAAATGTTATAAAATGGTTTGCAAAATTTCAAAATTGATTTTCAATTTACTATTGGAGAAATAGTTTTTCAAAATTTCAAATCAAATGTGATTTTAAACGTGATTTTCAATTTACTGTTTGGAGAAGTAATTTTTCAAAATTTCAAAGTAGTTTTTCAGAATTTCAAATCAAACGTGATTTTCAATTTACTGTTTGGAGAAGTAATTTTTCAAAATTTCAAAGTAGTTTTTTAGAATTTCAAATCAAACGTGATTTTCAATTTACTGTTTGGAGAAGTAGTTTTTCAAATCAAACGTGATTTTCAATTTACTGTTTGGAGAAATAGTTTTTCAAAATTTCAAATCCGTGATTTTCAGTTTTTCAATTTGGAGAAGTAGTTTTTCAGAATTACAAATCAAACTGAAAATAAAGTAGGAAAGTTTTTTCATCAGGGAGATGTCAGCACTCGAAAACACGCTCATCACTCTTGTCTATGCTTTTAACCAAACTTTAATTATCTCTTAAACTTGATTAATGTCGTTTAATCATTCTAACCACGTGCCATTAAGCTAAGTTTTGGGCGTTGATTCAACTCCCTAGACATGGATACGTCCATTCACCGACCTTTCCTCTCTGTATTTAATTGTCGTTTTTACTTGAAAGGAGTGGAGTGGTTGAAATGTTTTTGGCATCATGATATCATATGTCACAATCATGTGGCCATCTTAGTCTTTATTTTCTTTTTTTTTTTTTTTTATGACGAGATATTCGCAGTCGCTATCTTTTGGGTACGCATTAGGTGAACCCTCGGACATTTTAGTGTTACTATGAAAACAAGTATATATATATATTTTTTTTTTTCTAAAATATTTTCTAGTTAGGCAAAGTACTTTTAAAAAATTATTTAAATTTATTCAAAATCAAAAGTAACTTAACTCAAAAATGGCTTCTGATTTTTTAAAAACTATGTCAAATTAGTCATATCACAATTTACGAGTTTCTAGTTCAAACAATGCATCATTGTGTTAACTAGCTAATGTTTACTAACATGGACTTAACTAAAATTAAACTTTTACATCCAAATATTAAAGCATGCCATGTGCTAAAAGCATCATGCCTACAATCTTGATTTCTTAATATAAATATTTTATTTTTTTAAAGTAAATTAATGTTTTCAATATATTGAATTTTTCAATAGAAGTGGCAATAGATTATTAGAATAGCGAGAATGTGTTTATATATTTATAGAGGAATTGGTGCAAACGAGTCTCAATTTATAGGGTTGTTACGTAATAGTTCATAACCTTCAAATTTTGGCGCAAATATCCTTATCCTGTCAATTAATGAGCGGAACTGGTTCTTCTGAATAATTTCCATATAGTTGAACGTTAAAAATGTCAAACTTTTGATAAAGGACATACCCTTACTTTTAGTTAAATAAATATAATTATAATAAGGGTGATTAGCACAAAACGTCCCTACCTTTGGAGGTTTTTGTGGATAACGTCCCTACCTTTAGTTTTTTGGTGGATAACGTCCCTACCTTTACTATTTTTTGCACAGAACGTCCTTCTGTCAATTCACCGTTAAAATGTTCCGTTAAATCAAATAAAATGGATCTTTTCTTTTTAAAATGCAGGGGTAATATCGTCCATCAACATTTTCTTCACTGTGTAATCTCTCCCGCCTCTTTCTTCTTCAAACGTTCAAGAAAAAAGTAAAGTAACATGAAAAAAAACTTATACAATATTATTTCATTCAATAAATTAGGAAAAATGACGTGAGAATTATTGCATTTCTGGTAGAAAATATTCATGGCTGCTGTAATACTAATTGTTCAAAACATTTTTGAATGCTATATGAAGAGAATGAATATGTGGTTAATAAAAATGAGATGTCCATCCTTATTTTATGCTTACGAGAAGGCCAATCAAAGTATGATTCTGTAAATGGATAATACATATGATGGAGTGGAGAAGATGATGAAATATGAACGTGTTTTCTCCCCCATTTTAGCATAAAATTAAATTGGTGATAACAATCCCTACCTTTATATTATCTTCGCGCAAAACATCCCTACCTTTACAATGTACCTGAGCAAAACATCCCTACCTTTACAATGTTTTTGCGCAAAACATCCCTACTTTTGTTAAAAATTGTGCAAACCGTCCCTACGTATTTTGAGCTAAACAACCTGTCTAAACTGCAGCCAAATACAATTCTGCTTATCCCTGCAATTGAACGTCCGCAACACCCAGTTCGAACAAAGCAAAACCAATACTCAACATCCAAGTTCAATAACAAAATGTAGTAAAATCAGCACTCAACAACCAAGCTCAATAACCAAACTAAGTAAAATGAGTACTAGACAATAATTAAAGAGTGCTCATTTCTGGATATCCAGTTTGGAGAAGAGAAAAGGTCACATAATCAGAAGGTGCCTATCTCTGTCCAGCTGTTCAAAAATATCAACAAAAACATATACAATTCAGCATTCTACAGCTATTACTATGGTAGTGAATGAACCAAACCATATACAATTCATGTGCAGTGATTCATTAAACCAAAAGCAAAAAAATTTCATCTGGCAATACTAATTTGGTGCTGGTGGTGGTGCCCTTCTGCAGCCCCTACTATTGTGTCCTCGTTCACCACATTTCCTGCATGTCATTATCAACCCCGCTCTCTTCCTTGGACTTGACGTGGCTGTTGTAGTTGTCTCCGAAGTATTTACATTGCGTGAAGACTTTCTAAACCTCTTCGCTTGACTTGAAGAAGCTTCATTCGGCTCTTTTCTTCTGCTTTTTCTTGGCCTTCCAGCTCTTTTTGTGTATAATGGTGGATCGAGGGGCTTGAGACCTAGGTTAGGCCATGAGTCCGGACCTGTGATGGGGGAAATAGATGGAGTATAAGTTGCGAGGTATGCCTCCTTCTTGTATATGTCATCTACAAACTCCATTACATTAA